TCAACATGTGTCCCCTCTTCTCCATCTCTCTTCTACATCAACATGTGTCCCCCCTTCTTCATAACTCTTCTACATCAACATGTGTCCCCTCTTCTCCATCTCTCTTCTACATCAACATGTGTCCCCTCTTCTTCATGTCTCTTCTACATCAACATGTGTCCCCTCTTCTTCATGTCTCTTCTACATCAACATGTGTCCCCTCTTCTCCATGTCTCTTCTACATCAACATGTGTCCCCTCTTCTTCATGTGTCTTCTACATCTACATGTGTCCCCTCTTCTTCATGTCTCTTCTACATCAACATGTGTCCCCTCTTCTTCATGTCTCTTCTACATCAACATGTGTCCCCTCTTCTTCATGTCTCTTCTACATCAACATGTGTTCCCTCTTCTCTTCATGTCTCTTCTACATCAACATGTGTCCCCTCTTCTTCATGTCTCTTCTACATCAACATGTGTCCCCTCTTCTTCATGTCTCTTCTACATCAACATGTGTCCCCTCTTCTTCATGTCTCTTCTACATCAACATGTGTCCCCTCTTCTTCATGTCTCTTCTACATCAACATGTGTCCCCTCTTCTTCATGTCTCTTCTACATCAACATGTGTCCCCTCTTCTTCATGTCTCTTCTACATCAACATGTGTCCCCTCTTCTTCATGTCTCTTCTACATCAACATGTGTCCCCTCTTCTTCATGTCTCTTCTACATCAACATGTGTCCCCTCTTCTTCATGTCTCTTCTACATCAACATGTGTCCCCTCTTCTTCATGTCTCTTCTACATCAACATGTGTCCCCTCTTCTCCATGTCTCTTCTACATCAACATGTGTCCCCTCTTCTTCATGTCTCTTCTACATCAACATGTGTCCCCTCTTCTTCATGTCTCTTCTACATCAACATGTGTCCCCTCTTCTTCATGTCTCTTCTACATCAACATGTGTCCCCTCTTCTCTGTGTCTCTTCTACATCAACATGTGGTAATTTATACAACATTCCCCTTCTTTTACAGAAAATGCTGGTCGGCTCTGTTGTGATTGGTCAACCGCTTAGAGATGTCCCGCCTCTTAGCCTATCACGTACAATGTGTTGGAGCGGCATCCAAAAAAACCTACATGTTGGTGATAATTGTGGAATAAATGTTATCTTGCATCGTCTGTTATTACGTGACTAAAACCT